AGACCCCATAAGCACATATCATTATCCACGTGATGAGCTGGAGCACATGACCAGGTATTCTCAAATAGTCGAGAATACTCATATCGTCTCGCTCCGTTTGATCGTTCGGGTCTTGCGGTGCATGCGACCATGGCAGAAATACTGTCGTGAATATTCCTCCCAGGCAGAGACACAATACAATCCAGTATTCAACGGCATATACTGGCCCCTCTCTTTTTGCCGTCGTCAGATTCCCGAGGCCTAAAGGTGGACTTGAGTCGATATATCCAAAACAGATGTAGAAGATGGACTCCTTACCAGAAAATATGGCAATAGAGAACCCAATATTAATACTTCGCATGTTGGCCGCTTCGTCCAAGGCGAAAATGTTGGCATAGTTCATGATGAACCACTGAACGTATATTCCAACACGGATTCCCAGCCCATATGTATCCTCGTCCCCATTAAAGCTGCATAAATTCGACGTAGAATTGGTATCGGACTGGCATCTGACGAGGTTCGCCAGCAGTAAACAGGCTAAAACCGACAGGCGCCGCATGGTGTTGGGCGAAAAAGGAGGGGGAGAGGAGGAGTGAAAGAAGCGTTGACAAACAGCGTTTCTGATAATGATAAGTCCTGGTTTAACCCGTTTCAACCAGTCGCGCCAGGAAACAAAACGGCGGTATGTATACGAAGTCAATTCAGTGCCAAATCGGGCGCAATCCCACTTGGACCCGTTCTCTCCAGGCATTCTCCATCAAGCTGACCATCAAACCACAGAACGCATCAACTGATCTTGAAGGAGAATAAGCACTAGCGTGCTGTTGATCTCTTTTCTTGGGCCTAGGTGTAGCTCCTAAGCCCGTCGAGAAATGATTGTATCTTGTATATAACTGTATACGAAGTAAAGTCAAAGCGCATATAGAAATAGACATATATTCCATCCTTCAAGGTACACTACAAAAATCTCATAAAGAGAGGAGATATCCCCGCGGGTCGAGACGCTTATCAACCAGTGCCTCCACGTTAGGCCCCACCTCAACCTTTATTTTCCCTCTATAACGCTCTACGATATGTTTTGACCATATGTATCAAAAACGAGCCGAGATGGTGCTGTTTGCTTGCGTCTGGAGTGGAGAACGGCATTTTCGACAGTCAATATACGTTCCCGTTCCGCTATTCTGGGTCGTGGCTGCGCTAGTACATTCGGGTTTGATCGGCTAGCCGTGGTGGGCGTATATCATCACTAGGGTGTGATATTCCCATATCCTAGTGTTCTTTGCCTCTTGTTTCTGACCATCTCCGAAGCCGCCACGGGGACCGAGTCCGCACGGGCACATCTCTAAATCATCAAGAAAACGATGTCGAGGAGGATACAACTTTTCCTTGCTGTTGCCATTCTTTTGGTGGCATTCCGAACGGTTGCCGCCCAAGATACGATTGTGGCGCCTCCGTTGGTACGCCTCGGTATACCCTCAAATCTGTCAGAATACGAGGCTGTCTGTGGATTCGTGGGAGATGGAAACATGTATGGCAAAGGGATCCGCATTGGAATGTACCTCCAATGGATCACCTCGAGTCTTGCATACAACTTTGTGCCAGAAGAAGCGGTGAACATGCGTGGCGTCAACTTTGGCTTTACCCTTGCCAATTTCGTTGGTAAATGCACCAAAATAGCTTAATATCGCAAATTCACTAATCAGCTTGTCTGTAGGACTGATTTATATTACGGTTAACAACAAGGAGCTCTATGCCGTGGAATGTTGGATCGTCCTTTTGATGTGTATGGGTGGCGTGGCTTCAGAACGAGGTTTTGCGAGCTATAAGAGCTCGGATATTGGACGACTCATCAAACTGATACTCGGTCTGGCTATCATCGGCTACTGGGCATGGTTCGTCTTTAGTGGTATGGACAAGATGATAGCGACGCCCTGTAGTCGAACCGCCTTTTTCTTCGCCAAAGTGGTAAGCAACCCCAATCAATGAATGTAGAACAGTGACCGACAATGTACAACAGGATCTATACCACTGGTTTCGCACGTTCCTCAAGGTCCTCGTGATCTTGACCATGATCCCTGTTGCCCTCGCATTCATCGTTGGTTGTGGGGTGTGCGTCGTGCTTGGATGGGTCGCCGTCGAAGAAGGTGGGATACCCTATGCAAAGGGCAGCGAGGACGAACTCGAGCACGTCGACAAGTCCTCGTTCGGGTTCACCCTCGCCCTCCCACTCTTCATCCTCGCTACTGAACTCACCCTCAAATGGAACCACATTCATGATGTCGACGAGGTCAGGGGGACCGGTCAAATCTTTCCGGTCGTCGTCAGTTGTTTCATGCTGGTTCGCCTCTTGTTCAAGACACTGATTTGGGGGCTCGCTCTCAATTCTGCCAAGTAGTCTTAAACGAGAGCCTGGTTATGACTTATTTCAAATTTGTAGTATGTCTCGTCAATTTAGTTTCTTCTCATTCTAGTTTGTCACTTGTATTTGGAAACGAACCATAATTCGAGAGAATTGTTATGAATCAAAATCTGTTCAATTTACGTTACTATAGTTGTGATAAGATGAGAAGTCAAGAGGTCGGATCGGTCGTCGGCGAGGCAGCTAGCTGCTACTATTGATTGACCAACAGCTTGAACTTTTCCCTCCCTCGTACAGTGCTATACCCCTCCTCCGGCCAAAGATCACTTGTACCCAAATGGAACGTGATGGTTGGCCACCAAACTTATTATAGTGATTGTAATTAGTAGTATCACTTCGATTCGATAGATTATATACTATTCTAGAAGTTTAGCTACCCATTGAAGCCGTGGTTTCTTCGTTCTGCCAAGGAGGGTCGAAAATCGGCCCTACCCCTCCTCCGACCATTAGAAATTACTGGGGGGGGGGGGGGGGGGCTTTAAAGAATCCCAAAAAATTTAATTCAAATATTCGACATCAAACATAATTATATTCACTCAGATTTGGTCGCATGGACAGCCTGTGAGTGTTCATGCTGCGTAGCCTATGGTATAGAAGCGCTGCTATCTCGCCCTAGGCTATTGTCAGAGGTCTCTGTATCGTTTACGACGATATTTTTTACATTGAAACCTTCCTATTGATCTCGAATTTTGACCCAAAACTTGGTGCTGTCCAAGTAAGGGGCCCAAAGATCAAGAAGAAAAATGTTGTATTGAAGTAAAATATCTATTGAGTAATTCAAAAATGGGTTTAGTATCTATATACTAAGTTTCGTAGGTTTAGG